TTGCATTTGATTATTACCTAACATGATTTAGCAATATACTTATATCGATGGGAGAATGGCATCAGATAAAATATACTATTTCTTGACATAACTAAATATATCATTAAACTTCCATGCTGTAAAACTGTATTAACAAAGATAAAAAAATATCCACTTTCAACTTCGGCCATGATGAAAAAGGTAAACAAAAGTTACTAATGACTAGTTCGTGTAACAACTAAAACGGTGCCATGTTACCTACCTTCTTTACTTAGTTCTTATAGTTATTACAAGCAGGAAGGTCAATAAATGATGTGGTTTTCGAAGTGTTTTTCTGAAATTAAACCAAACTTACCTCGAATTGCCAGTGTGCTGCCTGTAATATCTGTTTAGCCTGTTCTCTCGCGCATCCAGCAGCTAGAACAAATTGATTTATCATAACTTGTTCCCTCAAAGACTCCATTGTAGCGAATTTTACAAATTACCACAAGGTTGCACTCGATCTACAACCATCCAAACAAACGTGGTATGTGATTTTCTCAGAGCACAACACAGCTAGTTTTACTGGATGACGTCATGTCCTTGAATACAATTGGTGAAGCTATATATGCTTCACGAGCATGCTCTCTGTTGTTTACAAACAAAGAAAGCAAAGGTGATAGTTCCCATTCCACTACTTTTAGTTTTACTTTATAACATAAGCGTGCTCAGTAATTTTATTAAATTACGAGAATTAATACTGACATAACGAGAAAAAATCACGAAACAGAAAATATTTATTTACAGGAGAAAAAAAATTACTGAATCACCGCTAACTTTATTATATATATATATTTAAAACACGATGACATTAGATTAGAATGTTTACCAACCCTCAGTATTAGTACAAGAATTCCAATAATATAATATTTTTTTCCAGATAGAGAACTAGAAATATTATTACAATTATTTACTTTCAGTTTTGTAGTTTTTCCTTTGGAAATGATGATTAATTTTTCAAAATTTCAAATTTCTAAGAATTTTTATTTTAGAATGATATGTTGATCTGAATATATTTACATATGCACTACAGACTACCTTTAAAGAATGAAAATAAGGTTTCAATTGATTTAGCAAATTTTTGTCATCTGTAGAAATGTGAATATGATTTTGGACATTTTTAGAAACAATATTTTTTGTAATGAATTAGAAGCTCGTTGGGTTTTTGGTTCTATTGGAATTAATTTATTGTTATAAGTGTTATTTAATCAAAGCCTAGGTACTCCAGTGGTTTTATGTTAATAAATTAAATAGAAATAATTGATATTCTGAAGCGCCATCTCTCGACTCTTACCAACTTTTAGATAATCTTTATGCAAAAGTGTTAATTAAAAAAATCCAAAAGTAAAATAAGCATTGAATAAATAAACTTAAAAAAGTGCTATTAAACCCACAAAATAATTATTTTCAGGTGAACCAAGCATATTCAAAGCATATTTTTTTTATATACGCAATTTGAACTGTTATTACATTAATTATAGATATTGTACAATTTGTTTATATTATTTCAGTTGTTAACAAAATGAAATATACTATAGAAGAATGAGACTTATAAAAACTTTAAAATTCGTCTAAATTCTTATGTTTAACTATCTGCATCTATTATAAACCACTGAATGATAGTATCCATGATTTTGGATCTTGTCTTCTTTCATACAACGTTAGCCTAATATGAGAATGCAGGTGTTAAGACGGCCTATCGTCGTACAGGTTACAAACAGTTTTCTCCTATTTTCATGAACAGTGTATATCTACAACGGCAATTAATGAATAATTTATTTGGCAAAACGACTAATTCTAGCAAACTGAACTAATAAAATCTGCCTTTTTTTAATGTTAACCATCAACCTTATTCGCTTATGTCCAATGAGAGCTATTACAGCGTTTGAAAAATTATATATGAGCTTATGACCCTAAGGATGAATCGTACGCTCATCTTTGACTGCAAATATTTGGACTTGCTATACTACGTAAGGGGAACAGAATAGAAATATTTTCCTTTTCCGAGAAATGCTAGAAAATTTAAAATATTATATTATAGTTCTTTATTGTTACAAAAAGCGACAAACCATTATATATATTTTTTCTGTTATTTACATTACACTTCTCTTAGTATCGCACACTTTACCATCATTGTACATTCTGTCTGTATTATTCACTACCATATCTCCATTAGTACATCGCATACTCACCGAATGGTAATAATAAAACACAATATCGTGTGCAGCACTTAGTGAAAAAACACAGTAAATGGAACAAAATGTTAAAAGTCTTGATATTGGAGAAATTAGTTTCGACACATTCGTGTGTCCTCTTCATTCTCGCATGGTCTTTTGGCGCGAACATTGGTCAACAACTCCTACGTGACCCCGGAACTTCGAATTCCATCAATTTTAAAGTGACCTTAGAAGATTTTGAAGTTTAGCAGATTTTTGATTAAACAACTTTCGACGATTCTTCATTTTTATGTAGTTATCTGTTTGGTACAAAACTCTTGTCGATTTGATGGTCAGAATTTCTTGTATGACAAAAAATGAAATTGTTTGTTGTCATATTTAAAGTCTTTTTTTTTTTTATGTTCAGAAACTCTCCTGTCAACACTCTTTCTGGTTTCACCCATATAACTGTTTTCGCAGGCTTGCAATGGTATTATACAATTACCTTGTATTTTAATTTTCAGGTGTTGTTCTGTGTGAAGTTAAGTTGTCTTTAATGGCGGTCTGATAATTTTATATGTTATTTTCTAATCTTTTTCGATTAAAGCTCTGTAAAACACGAATTCGAAATCAATTTACTAATAATAATTTTAAAGTATGCGAAAACGTGTCACAGTAACGTTTCTATAAATTTATCTTGTTACAAGAAAATCAAGTTTTACTTTTTAATAAGCCTCTAAATTATTCATCAACAGAAACCAGTTAAATACCCATAACAGGACATTTGGTGTTAAATATCAACATAAACCAGTTAAATACCCATAACTAGGCTATTTGGTGTCAGGAATAGCTACACATTTACTAGGTTTTCAACAATAGCATGAAGTTCAGAAAGAAAGCTAGAAGAACGTGAGAAAAAACTGAAAGAACATCAAAAGCGCAAACTTAATAAAAAAATTAAATTGTAGAGCCAAGAATGCAACAACAACAAAAAAACGGAAGTTTTGAAAAAGCAGAAAAATACAAGAACATTGTTAACTTGGTATATTTGATTTTTTAATAACCTAGCCTTGTGATATATTACTGGTATTACTGCCAAAAATACCACTAACAGCTACGAAACCAACTGATGAAACAATACATCCTAATTCTAATAATTGTATTCTTGTTTTTCCTCAATTCTGTAAAATGAAGTTTCACCAAGTAATACATCCTAATTCTAATAAATGTATTCTTGTTTTTCCTCAATTCTGTAAAATGAAGTTTCACCAAGTAATACATCCTAATTCTAATAAATGTATTCTTGTTTTTCCTCAATTCTGTAAAATGAAGTTTCACCAAGTAATACATCCTAATTCTAATAAATTTATTCTTGTTTTTCCTCAATTCTGTAAAATGAAGTTTCACCAAGTACCGAGGGTTTCAAGTATTCATTTTAATTTTTATAAGTAACAACAACAACATAAGAGTGGGTTGAACTTCAGTTCCATGTAAGTAACTTGTTCTGATCTGTCCGAAGTTTTGGTAATGTTCTTCAATTTCTCATTACTAGAAGTCTAAACAGCAAGTTAAAAATTCATAACAGAAAAATAAAAGAACGTGTCCAGACATTCAGACAGGTGTAAGAAGGGTATGACAATACATTTAATTAATGACTAGTAAATACTTCTATATCTTTTGGATAGTAAAGTTTTGTATTTGAATGAAAGAAATTCAAAGCTGCATTTTAATGTGCCTACAAAAAAAAAATAGAGGAAACTAACACTTTCTGTGGATTAAAGCACAAGTTGTTTGAAATGATTTATTTGAACAAAACTTAAACATTGCTTTACAATTTCAAAACCTTGTTTTACAATAAATTTCACATTACTCTTTATAAAAAAACATTTTATTGGGAAACTGTGTTTTTTTAGAACATTAAAATATATTTCATAGTTTCTAAGTTCATAGAAGGCAAACAACAACTTGTCTAGTTTAATATATTCTACTCATTTGACAAAAAAAATATTATGTTTCTAATGTTAAAAATAATTTCCATCTGCAGATGTATTATGTAACTGTGAAAAAATTAACATCTCTTGTGTAAAGATGTAAAATTTCATTCCAATAACTAATACACGAGTAACAGTTCATGCTCAACTGCTTTCATACACTTTAAAACAGTTACGGTACATCTTCACATGTATGCTACTTCGGGGTTTTTTCCAGTTTGTTTATCTTATGGACTTTAATCTAATTTGTTTTGTTACTATATTTGACAAACAAACTTTAAATGTTTCTGAAAGTAAATGTAAATATTTAACAAGAAGGGTAAGATACAATTATTCACGAAACGTAGAAGGTATTTATAACTACATTGTAACCCCATACATGGAGAGTGCAGTTTGTTTTATTTTCACAGTAGAAAACTGGATATTCCAATGAAAACAGGACCTATCAAATCAATAATGTTCCAAACTTCCGTTAACGGCAATGTAAATATCTAACAATTCTAATTACAAATAGCAACTTGTGATGATTTATTATACAGTAACCGTCGATTACGCACTAACGGTTTTGTACAACATTCTTTCTTTGAGAGGTGTAACACTTTAAAAACGGTGTTTCATTTTCCACTGTACGGTGATATATCTTCTAGTGAAGAGACATTAGAAAACCTTTGGAAATTCCCATTTTCACATTAAGTAAAACTAATTATATGTTAATTACCATCTGATAAAAGTTATGATAATTTTCACAAGAGAGTTCATTTAATAAAGCTTCTAATCTTCTAAAGTAGTTTTGAAAGAAAAAATATTCCATAATTTGCAGCTGGCACTTGTTGTGTTGGATCTTTTTCACTTGTTGCCTAAAAAAAAAAGTTAAAATAAGAGTTTCATCATCAACACAAACTTCTTATAAAAAATAGGAATTCTAAAAATGGATTCATAATGATATTACTTTGTTGGAAAATTCTATCAAAATACAGCTAACCGGTAGAAATGATTTTGTTCTACGATTCTTGACTATTTATGCACCACCGAAACATTTCTGTTGGATTCAAAAGTGCGATTCTTATTCTGGAAACAGCTAATAATACGCAATACGTGGACTATCGTCAATTTTTTTTAAGGATGACGATTTACTGATATTTTTTATGTAAACGTTAAATCAACCTCTTCTACATTACAGTAACTTTATTTATTTAAAACTATATACAGTTTAAAATTCTTCTGGAGTCAGCATGTTCGCTATTCAGTTGATAAAGTTTTATAAAGAGAATAATTTAATAAAACAGAAAGATGGGATACAAAAAATAATTATATTTTAAAGCCTAAGTAAATGGATATTATAACATACACACACACTGCATTTTAAGTAAATAAGTTATAAGTGGGCACCGAAATGGGTTGAAATGTCCCGCTCCTCACATTACCTTTAACTCTATTGGATAATTCGAGACAATCGCTGTCACGAACAATTCTTCGTTACACAGACATTACTTTACTTAAATGATGTTTTTAAAACTTTATTTTCATACCTAGTTTAAGCCATTTAGGTAAATGTCCACTACTGTGGGAATGCGATGATGCCACGACCCTCCTTTCGTCTTGAACAATGGCTACTTGAGGAGTGGCTTGACCGGGTGTGTAACTGAAGTCATTTTCTTCACCAAGGAGTGGACCCCTGGTTGCCCTCCTTGAGAAGTCAAGCATTAACAGAATAAATAAATCATTATTATGTAACATGCCTATTACCATAAAAATACAATAAATATAACATTACAACGAAACCTTGTCAGTACAAACACACTTCTAACGAGCTAATACGTCCATATTATTGAGACATCCAGATAGTTGAATCAGTCATTTTGAATACAGTGGACACTACTGATCCTATGGGTCAAAGTTCATATGCCACAACCTTTAACAGAGTGTCAATCAACATGGTATTATGTATTTGATGTCAGAGTTATAAACTTTCATTTTACCCTACGTTACCGACTTAGAGACAGTTCATGATAGATGAGAGTGGACAAGGATACTGAAAAAACTGTAAATCAGAATTTGGGAGTTCAGTGAGGTAAATAAAATGTAATACTTTAGCTGTAAAATTGACAAAAGTACTTTTGGCACTCTAACTTGTCAGAATCTGAATTGGACTGATGTCGCAAATCCAGACATATCTTGATTATAAATACTTTTGTAACACACGTGTACAACAGACTTGTACACTTGACTAAAAGATTGCTACATTTTGTGTAGATACACGTAGTAAATTTACAATTAAAGTCAAGATTCCTTCTCTAATACGAAGTCAATCCATTAGACCAACTCCGTGCACGTATGGTTAATAGCATGCGTTATCAATTGATAAATATATGGGTGCAAACTGATAATGCTGGACATGTAACTGGTAAACAAAATGCTACTGTATGTACAATAAACTTACCAGTTTATTGTTCTATATGTCATTAATAATTATACAAGTTTTATAATCAAAGTGGTATTTCACGATCTTTAAGTAAAACATCCATACTGATAAAGTATTAATCAATCATACAACAAGTAACTTTCTAATCACAGCCTCCCTTTGAATTGATTTTTATTTCTTTTGATATAATTTCAGTAATATGGAATGACTTCTTTTATTAAGACATCCATGATATAAATGTACCGATATTTCCCATAATCCCTTCCAATTCCATGATTCTGGTAAGTTCTTCAACACTCACTTTATCAATCTGTTATTTTATACCGTTCATTAGCAGTGGGATCCACAAATTTATTCATAGTAGGTAATTTTATGATTCTGCCTGTTACAATGCTCACTCAGCAATAACTAATGAGATCATCTTCTATATTGAAGGTATTTTGGTTTCATTCAAGAACCCACAAACAATTTGGTGCATAAATAGTTCAGTAAAATGTTTAAAAAGCCACTGGGACTCACACAAGTGGAACAATAATAACATGTATTTTCCATAATTTAACACAAACACACATCCGTATTTTAACACAAACCTGTATTTTAAACACAAATACACACCCGTATTTTAACACAAAAACACACACGTATTTTAACACAAACACACGCACGTATTTTAACACAAACACACATGTATTTTAACACAAACCTGTATTTTAAACACAAATACACACCCACGTATTTTAACACAAAAACACACACCTATATTTTAATACACAAACACACACCTGTATTTTAAATACAAATACACACCCGTATTTTAACACAAACACACACCTGTATTTTAAATACAAAAACACACCCGTATTTTAAATACAAAACACACCCTGGGTGTGTTTTTGTGTTAAAATACAGGTGTGTGTGTTTGTGTTAAAATACAGGTGTGTACTTTTAAAATATGGGTGTGTTTTTGTGTTAAAATACAGGTGTGTGTGTGTTTGTGTTAAAATACGTGTGTGTGTTTTTGTGTAAAAATATGTGTGTGTGTGTGTGTGTGTATGTTTTAAAATACTATTTTAAACACAAATACACACCTGTATTTTAAAGCTGCCAGTCTTGCTGCTGCTAGTGAGGACACTTTAGCCTTCACATCAGGGTGTAGGTAACTTTGAACAGCATGACTACAACCAAAGTAAACCACTGCAGCAGGCACGAGATTAGCCTACAAATAACAATATTTTTCATTAAACTAGATATCTCTATAAAAAAGCATATGAAGATTCATGATCTAAAACACGCATGTAACACACTTACACGGAAATCTGTTAACGGGAAAGTTTCAGCTTACATCAGAAAAGCTACACTAAGAAATATATACATAAAAGAAATAATATATCAAGAGCAGTATTACCTGTAGTAAATGAATTTTTACTGCCCATGCAACAATATACATATGTACTTAAAAACACAATTTTAAAAGTGAGTCTTAAGCAACTCAACACAACTCTTCACAATATTAGGCCAGTACTAAAATTATACATTTACTTCCATTTTTCAATTTCACTATGCATAGATAATGTTTCCATACTTGTATCACTAACAACGTGTGTGTATATATACCTTAGCGTCACACATATATCCAGCCATCTTTAACAGCATATATATATATATATTGTTAACATTTTCCTAAACTGAAAATATATTTCCAATAATACTTACCTCCACTGACACTTTAGATATTCCTCGACATTGGCTTTGCCTATCTAAGCATTGGTCTCGCATGCTCCAGTCTTTTATACCCCACTTAAATATCCTTGGGCAATATCTAATTTGTAAATCCCTCCACCCACATAAGAAAGAATGAAGATCATCTGCCAATCACCCCCTTTCCCAAGTGCAACAGATAAATAGGAATAACCTCCCGGAAGAACGGGATCAACTGTCATTACTACCCCCCACGACCAGTAACTCTGATAGCTGTGAAACGAAAATCCACACCCCACTGTTCAGGTGGGTGTGGAAATACCAATTTGGGAGGATAATGGAGGTGGAGAATTGGATGAAAAAACCAACTTCAATACCAGAACCTGAAGTATCCATGAATCTCCTGTGAAGGAATACCAGTTGTAATTTCACTCTAAATGACCCCCCCCCTCCCACACACACCTAGGCAGATTCTGATGCAAGTGATGTTGGTTAGCCTGAATAAAGGGGCCCTAAAACTAAGGTCTGAATCTATTTAGCTGTTAGAGCCAAAGAAACTCTCGAGGTCAGCAACAACAAAAAGGCATACGGGTGACATCAATTCGTGATACAAACACCTTTAGGACATCCACAAACATCAAGTGATGATAAAAAGAAGCCACATGTAAAACACAAAGGTTACAGCAGTAAACAAACTCCCTCCTTCAAGGTATCTCTACAGAAGGAACAGAAGCAGTCAATCTGACCAAGGAAGAATAGGGGAGGTCGGATTAGCTGCCGTGTTGATAGTAGTAATGCGGGAATTCATACCCGCAAATATCACACCAATTTCTTTTTTTTTTTTAAGGAAATTGTAATTATACAGAAATCCACAAGGCAATGCAAAAATCTCAATCCATTACAGAAAGAGTCACAGCAGTTCATCAGAAGAAACTGTGACGAATGCTTTGTCGAGAAAACGTTTTCAGATTGAGGTGCTTACAGTACCAGGATAGAGAGCACATTGATGTGGGTGGAGAGATTTGCAACTTAGATATTACTAAGGGCATTTAAGTGGGGTATAAAAGACTGGAGCACCCGAGACCAATGCTTAGATAGACAAAGCCAATGTCGAGGAATAGCTAAAGTGTCAGCGGATGGTATGTTTTAAAAAATACAAATATATATATATATACACCTTAGTATGACATACATATACACCTAACATGACATATATCCAGCCATCTTTAATACCATATATATATATATATATACCTTAGTATGACGTATCCATCCAGCCACCTTTAATACCATATATAAACCTTAGTATGACATATACATCCAGCCACCTTTAACATCGCATATATATATATATATATACACCTTATTATGACGTATCCATCCAGCCACCTTTAACACCATATATATACCTTAGTATGATGTATCCATCCAGCCACCTTTAATACCATATATAAACCTTAGTATGACATATACATCCAGCCACCTTTAACATCGTATATATTGGTGTACTTTGGTGACAGATTTTGTTGAATAAGACTGATGTCTGTAGGTTTACTTTCTTCTTAGAAATCTTCTCAAGAAGTCGATAAGCCGTTTTAACGTATTCAACAAAATCTGCATATATATATATAATATATATATACACCTTAGTATGACGTATCCATCCAGCCACCTTTAACATCGTATATATATATATACACCTTAGTATGACGTATGCATCCAGCCACCTTTAACATCGTATATATACCTTAGTATGACGTATGCATCCAGCCACCATTAACACCATTTATATATATATATATATATACCTTAGTATGACATATACATCCATCCACCTTTAACAGCATATATATATATATACTTTAGTATGACATATACATCCATCCACCTTTAACATTATATATATATATATACTTTAGTATGATGAATACATCCATCCACCTTTAACAGCATATACATACCTTAGCATCCAGCTTTAATACCTATTCAAAGTGTTAAATGTCATGAAACTGTGCACTTATTAGTATTCAAGCTGAAGGTTAATGTATGTATACAAAAACTTAAAGATGAAAATTCCCCATTGATTTCTTTGGGCTCTAACTGGAAAGAAACCTTACCTCAAAGAGTCTGTCTTCGGGGTTAAGAACTACCTTAGGTGGAGCCATGTCTATCAGAGAGAAAGGCATCTCAACACTAGTTCGGTATACATTTAAAACTGTATATACTTCAGAATAATTTTATGAAACTTTAAAAAACAAGTATTTCTACAATATTGATTATAAGATAATTTTATTTTAGGTAAGTGCCAGTTTTTAAAACAAGTTTCTAATTCATTTTTTCAACTCAAGTAACTGATCTTCATTTCTTTCCACATTCAAGCAGTTACTTAGGAAATAAACACGACCTTGCCCGGCAATGTGAAACTTGACGTGGTATAAAATAATCAAACTAAGCCTATCTCATCTTGTTCAATAAGCAAGTTTTAAACAGGCTTAAAATATCAGGGCTGTAATTGTGGCACAAATTGTTCCTCCTAGCAACACATCACTAAGCTACGTTTTTATCACATTGTTATTCTAATCTCTTTGTGAGTCTTCCTTTAAATGGAAGTCACACTGACTTTTACAGTTAAAAACAAAGAACTTTCGTTATACGTTTGGATTGCTATTCTACGTCTTCTCAAAGCTGAGATAGAGCCAATTACATCACAGCAGGACAAAAGTTGGGAGACAGTGTATTCTAGTTCCAAAGTCATGCTATTTTGTCCAAAACTCTTTCAATCTTTATCCTAGGGGGGCTATAAATGTCGTATTATACTCAGAAAAAATTCAGGAAATCCTCAAACACAAACATTTTTGTTTGAAGTTCACTGAAATCAAGTCAATATCAAAATTTGCTATTTTTTCATTTTTATGTATTAAATCAAATAAGTAAAAAAACTTTCAACTGTGAAGCCATCTGTTTTTATTGTTTTTTTAAAGTTTCTTTTATATCATTAGTTTGGTTCAATAGCCCAAATTGCTCTCAGGCCAGAATTCCCCCATCTGGCCGCTCTACAGTTAAAAGCTATTCTGTACATTCAAGTGTTCTTAAGAATTTGTAAAAAATTACTCTCACAAATTCAGAACTAGGGCCATCTAACACTTTGATAAAAAATGTTAATCTTTATGATTTTTGTAAATTACATAAAAAAACTTCAAGATGCTGAAATAACGCGATCGTTGAGGTCATAGCGAAACAAGTGGGGTCGCGCTAAATCGGGTTCAAGAAAATCACTGTTTAAACTGACCCAATGTTAAAAGTTATTAGTATGTAAACTG